AAGGCTCTACAATATGCAGGTTCAGGTGCTATTTTCAGAGCTGGCAATGGTGGAAGAAGAGATTAATAGGCTGGAAAGAAAAGTTGAAGAGCTGAAATTGAGGTTGTACCAAGAGAGGGAACATACCAAAGAATGGGAAGTGCAGAGGAGGCAAGGGCAACAGAATCACTTGCTGTGCTGAGTGGGAAATCAGTCAGTGCTCAATGAAGAGAGATGTAGTAGATCCCAGAAAAATGAGGCATTGAGAAAAGAAAGAAGGATGAAGAATAGAAGAGCCTCTGTGGATTCTGCATCAGATTTCCAAAGGTGGAATTTCCCAAAGTCGGATGGTAAACTGCTTATTTATCTCATATGAAGAAGAATGTGGATATTGAAACACTTTTTTTTTTTCCTTGGTTTCTCAATGAGATTTTCCTTTCACAGTGAATAACGCAAAACTTGGCACCACCCCTTAGAAGGCACAATCAAATAATAAAAACAGATGTGTATTTCACCTAAGCAACTCATGATTTTGGCACAAAGACAAATTATCCAGTACAAATTTCCTTTATTTGTTTTTTTACATGTATCCATACTCCTTTTCAGTAACCAATGCAGTGATGTGAACCTTCCTTGCAATTTATGCACCTACAATAGGAAAAATGGAAAAAAAATTAGAAGCAAGAGAAATCGTAAAATTACACAATCTACAAATTTGAACAGCAAGAAAGAAAAAAACAGTAATTGGAATGAACTACAACAACCAAATAATGAGAGAACTTCAAAATACAACCAATCAAATTCTATGATGACAATTACCCAAATTGAAGTAAATAATTAAAGTTTCAGAATTCTAATAGTGTAACTAAAAAAGAAAATTATAGTGTAACTAAAAAAGAAAATTATCTGTTACCAAAAAAAAAAAAAAAAATTATCGTTTTTCTTAAAAAAAGAAACATTACAATCATGATGCATGAAACTTAAACTGAAAACAGAGCAGGAAAGAAAAAAATTGCAACCATATGTTCCTACTGTAGGAAAAGGGACTAATATGGGCCAAATGTTCCTTTAATGCTTTTTATACAAAGAGAAAACATATATCACACAAAAACATTACCAAATTTCATACAGCAACTCTGTACTTAAACTAACTCTTTACCCAAAAAAGTAAAAGAAAAGAAAAAGTAGAGCTATACTAATTATTTCTCCAAATCTCAAAAAAGAATCGTATCAGTAATGTATATACCTTAAATGCTTCACAGCTTTATCTCTTAATTGTTCCTCTCTGAAAAATATTGAGTTCATCCATTATGCACAACAAAATAGAACAGGATAGTATAAAGAACAAAAGTTCACAATTACAAAACTCCTTGATGTATTGAACTCCTTGCATCACTAAGTAAAACATGAGGAGACGTCCAAGATGGGTGTGAGGAAGATGGTGATGATGAGGACGTAGCTACCCTTTGCTAGTAATGTGAACTTCCTCATATCAACTTCAACAAATTTCCTATCAAATTGTTGTCACCATACAAAACTAATGTCAACTAATGAAAACAGGAATACTGGCTGAATTTATGTGCTATTGCCAAATTACATACCAAATGGATGCTTGTTAATAAACCAAAATTGAAGCTATTGGTCTGCAAAACAGATAAATAAGTGTAAACAAACAAAGGAAGGCATAGTCACCCAAAGACTCAATCTTTGGGTTCAAATACTGAAACAATTTATTCAACAGATAAAGATCATATAACTTGGATTAAATATCATCCAATTTGTTTCTTTCTTAGAAGATCTGCATTACAAGGTTAGAGCGTTTTCAGTCAAAAGAAAAAGGAATTTCACAGAAAGTTGAAATAGAAGTTAACTCAAAGAAAGCATTTTCTTCACCTAAATGCTTCTAACCCTTCAACTCCTCTGCCAAAAGAATCCCCTGAGAAAACAAAAGAAGAAGAAATCAAGGCTTAATCTGGACACAACTCTAAATAAATGAATTACTAAGAAAAAGCAAAGATGAAGAGGAGAGCACCGAAAAACTGCAAGCAACTAAAATGAACTGCTGATTATGAAGATAACAAAGCTTCTTCAAGCAGACCCATCTAAGCTTATAATCTGCAGTGGAAAAGAGAATGAGAAGAACACCCAAGCATCCATCCCAGTACTCTTAAATGGAAAAAAAATGCATGATTCAGAATTCTGTAACAGAAATTGACACATTAAATCTAACACAAATAACATGTTGTCTAAAACTCAAACAAATTAATACAACACTCGAAAAGCAAAAATACCACTCGACATTCCAAATGTCATCCATGAATGGCACATAATAAACAAAATTATTCTACTTGTCTGACTCAATGTCAGTACACAATCAAAAACTGGAAGCACCTTGTTATTTGGAGTGTAACACCAAAAAAGTGGCCTGAAAACGGAGTCTCACTCCGTGGGTCATGATATCCAGCTTCTTTCCAGTCGGATTCTTTGTGACAATTGCCATTTTCTGAATAAGCACTTGATGTAATCAAAAAAATCCAACTCAAAGGTTGCAAAGATTCATGACCAATGATGTGCGATAACTAGTATAAAACTATGAATAGCACACAATAAACAACAGAAAGAAGAAACCATGACACAATTAACACGGCTATTGCAAATTCCAAAAGAAATGAATGACCAAAACTCTGCTGCACAATTCTCTGATCCTTACAAAATCAAAATCTCATCTCTGGCGGCAAATTCCCACCATAAAAGCTTGAAATACTTAGCCAAATAATTGGTAAGCAGAACAAAGGCCATGTTGCATTACTTTCCAAAATGCCTATAGACCATTTGCTATTCAAAACCAGATATTAAGAAACTGAAAAGGAAAATGCAGGGGCTGTATATCTCAGTAGCATACTAGCAAATCATGTTAATGAATCACAAAACTGCAACTCAATCAGCTTAATCAGCTAGTTTCCCCCCAGCATTCATGGGTAAAGAGAAATCTCATATACCTGTAATGCATCATGTATGCTGCTGCCACTGGTTTGACTCAAAAGGAAGCGGAGCGTGTGAGCCTTGGCTTGGCTATCTTCTTGTCCTCTTCAAAAGGGATTACTGAAAGATTGGCTGGGTTCTCGATCATCAGTTTAGCTACCAGATATCCTGAGATGCTCCA